TAATTTTGACAATAACATATTAGATATGCATAATTTGCACAGAGAAGCACCACAATCAATGGAACTGTCTTGTTTGGGTACAAACTGTTGCAATAATAAACTAAAATTTGTAAGTTTGTACATACCACTTCATAGTATGTTTGTATAGTCTGAAAAGTTAAACTTCTGTGTGTGCACCCCTACCTTTTTTTTCAAATACATTGACAGCACACTATTCAATTTGAACAACAAAACATTAATTCAAATAAAATTTTGATTCATACCAGCACTTGCTTGTTTTGTCACAGTAAAATATTTTTCAATAGAATCAAAATTAAAAAATTGATTTATGACGCTTAATAACCTATACAAATCCGCTATTAATATTGTAGACAAATAAATTTTAAAAAGAACTGACAATTAAAATCTAGTGGCTTCTGACATGACAAGGCATTATATACAATAGATTAAACTTTACTTACATCATATATAATCCTAATTTTATAGTGTCAAAACATAGATATTATGCGTACAGCTGTAATGAAACAACTTACATAATAGTATCAGTCAACAGTCTCATCAGGTTGATTTGCAACCAATTTACTAAAGATTGCTGTTGGTACCACACAAAACATAATTATTGCTCTAAAAAATTGCAGTTTTTATTTAATAATACTCATCCTATATAGTCTACATTGTATTCCTGCTTATATTCACTGTAAATGGTAATTCCTCTTTGAATATATTGATTGAAGATATAGACTTGCACCAAATAATATAGAAAAATCATTAAAATGGTGTCACTGAACTCCTATAAAGAATAACAAATAGAATTCAAGTGATGGTTCAGTATTGTGATGCTTCATGCAGCCTGTAGTAGCAATTTTGCATTGATAAAGTTAAATTTTCGCTAACATGACCTCTTCTATTGGTCCTAGCATAGTTAATACGTACATAAATTTATTGTCCAAGTATAGAAGTGTTTTAAAGACAGACTATCCATGAATGATTGTCCTTTACATGGATATTTATGGTCCTGTCGGGTCCGCATCAGTCCGTCCGTCCGTCCTTCCTTTTCGGGCGGGGCGGGTCCGTCCGTCCGTCCGCTTTTGAGACCCTACCGCAATAATGAGGCGATGCGCTTCGCGCATCGCCACGGTCCCTCTTTTTATTGTTTATAATTTCTTTTAATTTTGACGGATTTGGCGTTCCATAGATATGTACATGAGCATTCCGATTCGAAGTTGGCTAGAAATTGTTCCCAAAAATAGGTTCTGACACGAGATAAGACAGTGGAAGTAGGGAGACTCTGGTCCATAGGAGGAAGCCTGGGGAATTCCATAATCTTGGAAGCCTTTTGAAGTAGGAGTGTCGAACTGTACTGGTAGAAGCAAAATTATACTGCAGTTTACATGCGAAGAGGCCCTGATCATAGTGTTAGAGAATGATACAAAGTCGAGAATATCAAAGGATGGGGATGGGTTTCTTACATTTTTGGCAAAGAAGGATAGCTATATCATTCAGTTTTAGAATCATCACCAAAGGTAACATGTTTAGAGATCAGTGTTCTTTTAGTTCATTAATTACATTCTAGTTTTAGTTATAGTACTTAAGAGCAAAGCATATATATTTAGTTCCAGTTTCACTTATAATACAGCCTCAGCCTTTTAATTTTAGTTACGATTATGTGATACCATTTTGTTTTAGTTATAGTTAGAGTTTTAGTTATAACAAACCAAGCAATAACAAGCGAAACAGTCGTTGACTCATAGCAACTTCATATATTACCATATACACGAATAACCCACCAACAAAAGTACCCAATCAACTGCTTTAATTTTGGTCAAAGCATAGTAGATTTCAATTAATAAGTTGGTATGGCTAGTACTAGTAGAAAACTGTTAATTCTATTTCAGTTATAGTTTTGACAAGTCATTTTAGTTATTATTCTAGTTACTTTGGGATCAAATGGAAGAATTATAGTTTAGTTAACTAAAATCACAATTTTTTGAACTAAAATAGATTTAGTTATAGTTATAGTTAACTAATATAACACTGTTAGAGACATTAATTGTGTCCTATAATCAGAGACAAAATCGTTCAATATAATATTTGGTAGCCTTCCGCTGGACTCTTTCCAGTAACTTGAAGTCCCTCACAAGATTGGGCCGCCAGATTAAAGAGCAATACACTAATTGAGACCGTACCAGGTATATATACAATGTCTTTTTGATTTCAACAGAAATAGAGATTGAGAAAGACCTCCTTATTAGTCCCAGCATCTTGTAGGCTTTAGAAATGAGAGATGTGATTATACACTAAGATCTTTGTGAACAGATGAGACCCTAAAAGGGCAGTTGTTAATGGTGTAGTGAGGGGCATAGCTCCACGTGACAAGTCAACCCTCAAGATGACACTCTTGTTCTCATTAAATGACATGCCATTATTCTGACACCACTCACTCAAAGTGTCCAGTTCTTGTAGGGGACTACTGAATGAAAGGTTCTTGTCACAGGAGTGGAAACACTTTGTGTCATCAGCAAAAAGTAGTGTAATAGAACGTAATAAAGAGTACAAACAGAAGGGGCCCCAAAATGGCAGACATTTGTGTCAACATTCTGATGGGAATAATAAACGACTTGGCACCTTTGCTAGATGGCAGAATTGTGTCTTGGGATATATTGAAATCTATTGGATTATCTTTAGAAATTGCCTACAGCAGACATTGCACATCTATAGACGATATATAAATATTTATACGATTTTTTATGATAAAATAAATACAAGTACATACATGATTCTGTTTTGTAAGTAGAAGAATAAAATCATTTATTTACTTACGCCATGCCTTAATTGAATTTGGTGTGACCAAGTAACACACATGCTCAAGGACATCATCTATTGATTCTCTCTTCCATTCACTTCTAGCAGTAATCTGACAGTAGCAGTTTTTCCAAACTGGAAAAACTCAATTTTCTTAAATAATACTTAACAATACTCATTTACTGTACTATGAGTGCATTTTATGCAAACATATAAATAACTATTAAGTGTTTTTGTCCTCTCTTCTTCATTTCAATACATGATATATAGTAGATGATTTTTTTAGTAAAATACACAAATTAAGTTTTTTAAAATAGAGAATATTTTTGACATTAGTACAAGTAAATACAAGCACTTTATTTTAAAAATAGAAGTAAATACAAGTAAATGAACTATTAAGTAGATGTGCAATGTCTGGCCTACAGGGAGCTGATTGTTTTGGAATTCTCAGGCGATTTGTTGGATCAACAAAGACATGTACCAGTGTAAAGGATCTATATCTATGTAATAATTATTGTACTCTAATTGTATTGTACTATTTTACTGACTGGAACATTCTAGAAAATGACTTATTTCTGTATTGTATTATTGTACTTTCTGGAACCCTCCAGAAGACTGTGTAACTTTCATGTATTTGTATGTGTCCAAAAGTTTCTGGAACCTTGTGATTAGTATAAATAGAGTTTTCGAGTTATTGTTCTGTTGTTCTCCACTTGTTTATTCTAATAAATTCTTTTAAAAGTCAAAGCGATCTTTGACACTATAGCCCATGGTTTTTTCCAAAAATTGGCTCCGAAATCACTCCAAATTTTTATTACATTTTTTGATACATATTGATGTTGTTATGCTGTGTAGAAAGTTTGAGCTGATTCCGACTTCAATTTTTCAAGCTACAGCCATTTTAAGAAAATGCCAAAAATCTGAAAAATACCCAAGGCTATAACCCATGGTTTTTTTTCCAAAAATTGGCTCCGAAATCACCCCAAATTTTTATTACATTTTCTGATACATATTGATGTCCGTATGCTATGTAGAAAGTTTGAGATGATTCTGACTGCAATTTTTTGAGTTACGGCCATTTTAAGAAAACGCCAAAAATCTGAAAAATACCCAAGGCTATATATAGCCCATGGTTTTTTCCAAAAATTGGCTAAAAAATCACCCCAAATTTTTTATTACATTTTCTGATACATATTGATGTCCTTATGCTGTGTAGAAAGTTTGAGCTGATTTCGACTTGAATTTTTCAAGTTACGGCCATTTTAAGAAAATGCCAAAAATCTGAAAAATACCCAAGGCTATATGTAAAGGATCTATATCTATGTAATAATTATTGTACTCTAATTGTATTGTACTATTTTACTGACTGGAACATTCTAGAAAATGACTTATTTCTGTATTGTATTATTGTACTTTCTGGAACCCTCCAGAAGACTGTGTAACTTTCATGTATTTGTATGTGTCCAGAAGTTTCTGGAACCTTGTGATTAGTATAAATAGAGTTTTCGAGTTATTGTTCTGTTGTTCTCCACTTGTTTATTCTAATAAATTCTTTTAAAAGTCAAAGCGATCTTTGACATTTGGTGGCAGCGGCGGTGGGATTGCCTCGAGCGGAAGACAGAGGGTTCCCACACTATTGAGAGGAGGAGAAACAATCTCGGGATTTTATGACGGAGGGTAGCCGTAGTGAACAGACTACTTATAGACTACGAGACATTCCAAGGAGGAATTACAATTATCAGCGGAACGTGATACAGAGACGATTAGTATATACCATGGAAGGTGGTGAAGGACGTGTGGATGGTGAAGTCCAAGAGGTACGAGAGGAAGATACTCTTGGAGGTATTGGTGGACACTCAACAAGGAGTGATCAGGTGACACAGTCCAATACTGGGACTGAGACTGCGTCCATTGGAGGTGACGGAATGATGTGGAGAATGTTGGAGACACTGATTGAGGATCGCCGACGGCGCAAGGAACAATTTGCAGAGGAAAGACGCTTACGCGACTTGGAGTTGAGGAGACGAGATGAGGAGCTAAGAGCTGAACAAAGACGGAGAGATGAAGAAGCGGTAAGGAAGGAAAGGGAGATGAGAGAACAAGTTGATTTACTGAGGAACCTGGTGGAGAGAATCCTCGAACAGGGGGAAGCTGCTTTACGAGAGAGGGCAGCTAGGGACAGAGATGTCAAAGTAACAAAGTTGATGGAAGAGGATGACATTGAGGCATACTTAACTATGTTTGAGAGACAGATGGCAGCTTTTGAGGTACCGGTAGAGAGATGGCCTTTTAAGCTGGCGCCTCAGTTGACTGGGAAGGCACAGCAGGCTTATGCAGCTATGGAGAGTGAGGAATCAACTGACTATGTGAAACTTAAGGAAGCTATACTAAGGAGATATCAGATAGATGAGGAGTGTTACAGGCAACGATTCAGAACAGCCAAGAGGAGAGAGGGAGAGACGTGTCGAGAACTGGTGACCAGATTAAGTGATCTAGTAGAGAAGTGGACTGGGAAGTGTAAAACAATAGCGGAAGTGAAAGATTTAATTGTGATGGAGCAATTGGTGAAGACTATGCCAGAAGACATAGGAATCTTCGTGGCTGAGAGACAGCCTAAGACAGCAACAGAAGCAGCTAAACTGGCGGATGATTACCAGTTAGCAAGAAGGGGTCGAGTAGGACCAAAGAACGGAGGAAAGAGTGAGAAGACTCAGAGGACGACTATCACTTGCTTGAGATGTGGGAAGGTCGGGCATATAGCTAGAGAGTGCTGAGTCTCACTCTCAAGATTTGCGGAGAACAAGACGACAGCTAAGACTGAAGCTAAGACAGAGAGACCTAAGCGGGACCTAAAGGAGATAGAGTGTTTTAATTGTCATAAGAAGGGACACTATTCCTCTAATTGCCCTGATAGAGCACTATTTTGTATGGAACGACGAGTTGGTTATCGAGGTGACATAAGGATCAAGAAGCGTAAGGAGCCTAACAAGCCCTTATTGGGAGTGCTGAAAGCAGGAACAGTGGAAGGTCGTGAAGTACAGGACATACTTATAGACACAGGATGTTCAAGGACTATGGTACATGAAGATAATGTACCACCGGAGAAGATATTACAGGGGGAAGCCACAGCTATAAGATGTGCTCATGGAGACACAGTATTATACCCACTAGCTTGTGTGGATATTAGTGTGGGTGGAAAACACTTGGAAGTGGAAGCAGCTGTATCAAACACCCTACCTACAGCAGTACTTCTGGGTACTGATGTACCAGAACTGTCAGAACTATTGAGCGAGAAACCGAAGGAAGAGAAATGTGAGGAAGAGGAGTGTGATGTCTTTGTAGTAACCAGAGCCGGTGCCAGGGAACAACAAAGGCTAGAGGAAGAGAGACGGCAGCAGGAGGAAGACTCAGGTGTGCAACCTAACCCAGCTGGACTAGGAGATGAGGAGGAGATGGCGACAGACACACAGGAATGTACAGAAGAGGAACCACTTACTGGAATGAACAGTGATTTAGATGTACTAGATGACAGCCTTTTTGTTGAGCCTCGGGAAAAGACGAGACTGACTAGGAGTCAGAGACGGAGCATACTGGAGAGACACCGAAGACTAGTTAACACTGGAACTACACTATGTACGACCATGGATGACTTCAAGAAGTACCAGGAAGAAGATAAAACATTGGATGGAGTGAAACAAGCAGTAATGGAGAAACTACAAGGTAAGAGAGTCCAATTCTTTGAGCAGGATGGACTGCTATTTCAGAAATGGAAAGATCAGAATGGAGAAGAAACAGAACAGCTTGTAGTACCAGAGAGATGCAGGAATGAGATAATGAAGATTGCCCATGATACACCCTTTGCTGGACACCTAGGGAGAGAAAAGACTATACAAAGAATATTACAGCGGTTTTATTGGCCGGGAATTTTCAGAGATGTGGCTTACTATTGTCGGAGTTGCCCAAGTTGTCAAAAGTCATCATCGAAAGGAGTACTGCGGGCCCCATTAGTGCCCCTACCAATAATGGCTACACCATTCAAACGGATTGCAATGGATATTGTTGGGCCACTACCGAAAAGCAGATCAAGGAAGCAATATATACTAGTGATTTGTGATTATGCGACTCGATTTCCAGAAGCTATACCAATGAGGTCAATCGATGCAGCCCATATTGCAGAGGAACTATTGCATTTATTTGCAAGAGTGGGAGTACCAGAAGAAATTCTCACTGATCAGGGGAGTAATTTCACATCGCAATTGTTGACGGAGATCTACCAAATGTTACGAGTACGACCTATCAGGACAACACCCTACCATCCACAGACAGATGGGCTGGTAGAGAGGTTTAATGGGACACTGAAGAGTATGTTGAGGAAAGTGGTTACGAAGGAAGGGAAGGACTGGGACAAACTGATACCCTACTTACTATTTGCCTATCGAGAGGTTCCACAAGCATCAACTGGGTTTTCCCCATTTGAATTGGTCTATGGAAGGACTGTGAGGGGACCATTAGATGTGATACGAGACACGTGGACAGCCACTAAGGATGCAGATGAAAGTGTTATTGCCCATGTACTAACTATACGAGAACGACTGAGAAG